TACTGAGGCACCCTTTTTGCAACAAAAAAGAATCATAGAAATCGGTTCTCAAACGTCGGAGTAATTGCGTAACAAATACACAATAAAATACGGTAGAATTGAGAACCTCCTACTTTTTTTGAGTCAGTTAAACAGGAGGCTTTGAATGAATTCTTTAAAAATGGAAAGAAAAAGTGGAAGTCAAACGTGAATGATACGACCGATGGTCTTATTTATACACTTAAAAAAAAGAACACGACTCCGAAAATAAGTTGCTTTGATTACATAATCAAGAAAAAAGCTTAGGAAAAAAGTGGAGGCACGTTGAGACATTAAAAAAAGGTTTTGTAGAGGACTGTTATTACACCAACAAGAGGATACCCTCTTATAATCTAAGCCTAAACTTTAATTACTTACTTTTAATTCTAAATAAACACTAGACGTAGATTAACAAAGGGTGGTAATTAAAATTCCAGTTCCAGGAAGATGTCGAAAGAGAAATATATATAACGAAGATTATCTTTGTTTCCACCAGCTACAAATTCACCTTGATATTTGCCTGTGTTCTTGGAATATGACTCAGCGTACGCGGTATCTACTTTATAGTATATTATATTGTTAGAATTATCTGTGATTATGAAGGCATGCGTTCTTTGGGTCATACTTGGAGATATTTATTAATTATAATTATGAATTTAAAAAACCATCCTTAAAAGTTTTCGGAATTGGAAGGGATCAAGGTATTTTTTTTAATATTTGGTTACTTTATTAAAATTAAGTTAAAATAACTATACTATAAATCTTAATTTATTAAATTTTGAACTTGACCAAAAAACCAATGGTGTTAAAAAATAAAAAACTTTTTCGATTACGATTTTCAGTAATTGGCAAAAACGTGCTTGACCCCTGTACACTTTTGATAAGCATATTTCCCAAATTTTATTGAAATCGGTTAACGGAGAGTAAGTGTATTTCAATAAACCGGATTCGTCCCCTAATTTCACTCACCCTTAGAGGCGGAATATTTTTTTCAAAATAAGACCACTACTGAGGCACCCTTTTTGCAACAAAAAAGAATCATAGAAATCGGTTCTCAACCGTCGGAGTAATTGCGTAACAAATACACAATAAAATACGGTAGAATTGAGAACCTCCTACTTTTTTTGAGTCAGTTAAACAGGAGGCTTTGAATGAATTCTTTAAAAATGGAAAGAAAAAGTGGAAGTCAAACGTGAATGATACGACCGATGGTCTTATTTATACACTTAAAAAAAAGAACACGACTCCGAAAATAAGTTACTTTGATTACATAATCAAGAAAAAAGCTTAGGAAAAAAGTGAAGGCACGTTCTGTTAGGACATTAAAAAAAGGTTTTGTAGAGGACACAGTCCTCTTATTGGTGTAATAACAGTATTACACCAACAAGAGGGTATAGTCGAATTTTTATTATAGATAATAAACTGACATTTAGTGGGTTGCTTATTTTTGATGAAATAAAAATAGTGATGTCTTAACGTATCGCTTCACTGACTCACTCAAAAGGTCATCAAGGTAAATTAAATCTTTATAATAATTTGTAGTTAGGAATACCTAAAAAAAATAATATGTAGAGACTAATTAAAATATTGTTTAGCAGATTCATCGTCATCAGCCTACGGCAGTCCATTACAGGACATTTCTTTTTATAATATTAAGTGACGGGACGAACAAGTCGTGTGTCTGGTGGTAAGCTTCACCTCTATCCTTAACAGGACATATTCCAATATGCATTTCATCCGGTCCTTAGGTTTTCGCATCTATCTGCTGCCAGCAGCCTTTCACAGATCGTCACTCCATCTTAACCGAGGGCGTTCTATAGGTACTACGTTTGCCGAGCCGTGGTTTTCACTCAAGAACTCGCTTGCACCATCGGTTATCGGTTCTTCGACACATATGGCCAACACACGGCTACTCTAGCTTGCTTATGCTACCAGCTATGTCGACGCCTTGGTTCTCTGTTGAATGAACTAAGTCAAAAATCTTTAATTGCTCATCGAGTTCTTAGGTTTTCGCGATTGTTACACATAGGAAATGAAACTGTTTTTCCGGATTTAAATCGCGTATAACAAATATACGCGATTTAAATCCGGAAAAATAGTTTCATGTCCTATTTAAATGCTCATTTCGACCCCTCCTACGTAAAGGATCGTATGTCGAAATTGCCAAGTTTACAGGGGAGTAGTCAAATAGATCATGTAACCGATATCTAGAATTTTATAATACTCTATGTGAGTAACAAGCTTTGCCTAATAAAACTGAGAAATGCTAAAGTCACGTATCATGCTTATTTCAGTGAATTCAGAAGTTTAAAACGCTCCCCTGTAAACTTGGCAATTTCGACATACGATACTTTACGTAGGAGGGGTCGATTTATTGATTCTGTTTATTTTTCTTTATAATATTCAGTAAACATAGTAACATTATTAAAACTAGGGTGATTTACAATACCAAGTGACAGGACGAACAAGCCGTGCTCCTGGTGGAAAGCGACACGCCAGTCTTAAATCAGAGTCAAATCCATTGACTTACAAATAAATGGACGACGGGTCTAATACAGAAACCACGAAAAAAATGTCCCAAGTCACCCTATTCGAAATTTAAATTGTAATGTCATCGCAGTATCGCGCTGTCAGTCGAACAAATGAAGACTAAAGCGGAGTTTGGCGCTCTGTATACGATTTTAGCGCCTTACAAGTGCGGACACTTTTTAGCGCGGACCCGACGTCCATATAATTCTAAGTCAATGCTTAAATCGCAAAGAATCGTCACCCTTAGACAAGTCCCATGTGCCTGTAATTTTAACAGCACCCCCAAAACCGGAACGCAATAATGCTCCCATCATTACAGATTGGCGACAGAAATAGGTTAGGTGGCAGTACTTTCCTGGACGGACTCTTTCACAAGGAGATCTACTGCTTTATCAGTAGATAGTGATGTCGAACACTGGTGTTTGTTCACTAGGTACTAAGTCAGTTTGTTATAAAAATATGACTATATATCTTAATCTAAGACAAGAGGTACATAATAGCTATGTGTAGGCGTATGTTCACACATTGAGTGACGAATAATACTATGAACAAACACAGGCTTCACAATATCATTTACTGATATCACCGCGTAATTACGACGTCATTATGACGCCGTCTTAGCTTAGCCCCAACGAAGTTAATGACCGAGGTAAAATAATTACACCCTTACGTAGATTCGAATTACAATAGAATAGATAACAAGCGAACGCGATTTGTTTTCAGGAAAGGGTGGTGTTGGTAATCAATAGTACGAATAACGGAGAAAGGGAAATGACTCAACAGCTTCCTTGAATTGTTTGTTATTTAGGAGTAACATTTACGTAGAATTTAGTAAATTAATATCGTTTTGAATTTTATCGTTGTAAGGTTATAATTCTTGGGGTATATCGCATACGAATTGTATCTACTTTAAATGGTAGGGTTAGAGCTACGAAATAATTGTTCATGGAACAGAATAACTATTAACACGCAACAGGGCGGTAATAACGATTCCGAACAATAACCCAGTAGAACTCCCTGTGAAAGAGGTCGTCCAGGAAAGAATAGCAACCAAGCAGTAATGTGACCATTACTTACTTACTTACTTTTGAAGGGGAAGGGTGCTGGTGAAATTACAGGCACGCGGGACTTGTAAACTTTATGTACCTCTGCATCACACGTTACTCGCAATTTTGTTCAGGAAAATGAATAGCCTTTTCTCTGACTTTGCCGCGCTCATAGCAACTGACATTAATCTTTTCAAAGTTTGCATTGCATTGCATCTTACCATGCACTTATAATTAGAGGTGGGCGTTTAAACGAAAAGCACTTAAAAAGTCTGCTTTTTAAAATAAGCGCATAAGCACGCTTTTCATTTTAAGCGTAAGCGTTGGTCACTGGCCAGTTCCATAGATACTCAATAATTTCATTTTTTACAACGTGCCTAAGTTTCAAGTAGCGCCATCTATGTTTCATAAACAAGTTAATTCAACATAACGTTGCAAGATTTTTTTAAACATAAAGTCTATGCGCTTAATTTTTCTAAATGACTTTTTAAATGTCAAACTAAAAAGCGTTTAAGCAAAAAGCGCTTTTACAAGCACGCTTTTTAAACGACTTTTTAAGCGTCAACCTAAAAAGCGTTTAGGTGAAAAAGCGCTTTTACAAGCACGCTTTTTAAACGTACGTTTTAACGTTAAAAAAAAGGAGTTTTTTTCCATTTCAACGGTTAACAACTACAAAAGTTAAACAACTTATATTTTTAAACGCTTTTAAACGCTAATGAACAAAATGTTAATATAGTAATGTTATGTCAAAAATAAAACTCGCTTTTTACAAAAAAAACTTACTTATCTTAAAACCTTTAGTGCTCTACTCTTGCGTTTCCCTATCAACACAACAACGTTGCAAGCTATTTTTTAACATAAAAGTCAATGCGCTTAAACGTTTTCTAAACGATTTTGTTAGCTTCAAACTAAAAAGCGTTTAAGTGAAAAAGCGTTTAAAAAAGCACGCATTTTTTAAGCATAACGTTTAAACGTTTAAAAAAATGAGCAGTTTTTCCCGTCTCTAATTATAATAGAGAAATGAAATCTTTTTCTCAAGTTTGTACTCATTAGTAATACTTTAAATGGCAGTTTGATATGACCTTCTTTCCGTAAAATTTTATATCTACGGTATTTAAGATATTTTCCTTTCGTGTGGTACAGCCGTGTCACGCCCTGTATATAATACGGCACTGGCTGCACACGCGCAAATGTGTGCGTGAAGTGATAGGGTTACGCATCAATTTCTCATACTATTTATTATCTGGTTGTCACTTTGTAAGAGCGGCGTAACAAGCAAATAATAGGTAAATAATTTTTTCCATTGTACGGATTATCCGGGGTATGACGTCAACAAAATATCGGTCACTTGAATAAAAACTACAACCTTTAAAGATAAACTTTAATAATAAACAATAACTTAAAATATCATCTGACAGCGACAATGCTGTGACATCTTGGCGACAATACCGGATCGAACAGTTTTACCAAAAACACTTTGTCAAAACCATTTTCATTTAAATACAATAATCTATCTAACAAAATAACGCTTTCAATGACTTGTGCCAAACACAATCGTAGCAGATAAAATAATGTCATTTTCTTCCATTGTTGGTCAATATTTGGATATAGTTCTGACAAAACCCTTGTTGAACTGTCAAAAAGGTTCAAATTGAGAATGGAGTCGGCCATTTTGAGATATTGCTCGAAATTCTCGCATTTTGACAAGCGTTTTAGTTTGCCTTCGGGGAGAGATGAGTTAGGGCGATTTTCTTTAATTATTACCTGCAATAAAAAAGAAAAATAAAGAACTTTTTACCATACATATTCGTGTTTTTTTTTTGATCTGCTACCTGATGAGGTCACGGTCCAAAATTAACTTAACCTTTAAGTCGTTCGCAAAGCCTTAATCATTTCGGGACGGTTTGTTCTTTTATTTTTATATACATAGAGATTTTTAATGGCTATGGGGAAATCCGAAACCATAAAAGATGACCAAGGAAACTGGTATGAAAAAAAGTTTTTATTAAATTTGACCAACTTCGGCTGTCCTGATTTTTTTCGTCTCATATAATAAAATGATCCCTTTATGAAACTGAGTTGATCACCACAAAAAAAAATTTTGACCATCATTTTTATGGACAACTCCACACTTGACCAAAAAATTTACTTTGTCAAAATTGTTTTCACGAAAAAAGACTTAATGGTTCTTAATACACGTTTATTGTATTTTCTATGGTTTCGGATTTCTCCGTATTATCCCATTTAAAAAAACTATATATACTCCCAAATAATACCGTCTACCGATACATCAACCAATATCCGACACTTCACATCCAAAATGAAAGAAAGAAAGAAAGAAAGAAAGAAAAATAGTATTACTAAAATGTATTATTAAAATTGAGCCTCCTCGCAACGACGTAGTATATTACTATCCGTGTCTGACACCCTGGGCTACAATCGAAGAGTACTATTATCGCGATCGGCCAACCCTTTCACCGCGATGGTATACATTTCCAATGCACAATTCAGTAGGCTACTAGAAGTGGCGTGGTCAGCGTGGTAACAATGATATAGTATGCTATCGATACAATACGAAAAATAGTTATTATGGTCAAGTTGGGTAAGAGGAATACAGGGGGAAGGATTTGAAGCCTTTACTCATAATTTAAAGAGTTTGGCATTATAGTCTCTCAGTCGATAAAACAGACAAACAAATTAGTTTCAACTATTTTAAAGAGATGTCGCTACGATGCTTCAAATCCAAAAGGCGGAAACATGGCGGAAAAAACAAATTTGACAGTTGACAAATCTTGATAACACGAGGTATACATAACCTTTAGAAGAATGTTATTTATTTATCTTTATAATGTCAAGTGACGGGCGACCAAGTCGTGCGCCTAACGGTAAGCTACACGCCTGTCCATAACAGTTGCAGTGCCACTCAGAGCTTTAAATCGCAAAGATGTGAGGGACACGCCACTGCGCCCTTAGACATGAGCTGTCAAGTCCCAAGTGCATGTAATTTCACCAGCACCCTTACTCTTCAAAACCGGTACACAGTAATGCTGACATTACTGGTTCGCGTTAGAAATAGCTAAAGTGGAAGGAGCTCTACTGCTACTATAATCATTTTCATATTCATTGCCTTAACATCACAATACATCGTAAGTGTTGAATTTTGCGTAATGATTATTTAAAAAATGTATAGTTGATAAAGAAAGGCAGTTTAATGTACTTTAAAATTCTTTTAAGACTACCGGTTTTTCCCAGAGCTGTAGAGCTCAAAACATTTGACTTAAAACAAAATATGTTCCTCTTAACCCAGTTGACATTTTTTTTTTAATTTATAAATACAACCTTATAGACTAACACTAATGACTATTATTGCTATAATAATTACTTATATTCAATTACCTGTAATAAGGCTCTGTAGAGCAGACTCTGGACTGGCAACTGTCGTTGACTTACAACGCGGTCTATAGATTGAGCGGCTAACATACGCGCATTACGACCAAGGTTGAAGCCTGCAAAAATAAACATACTAACAGTGTCGAGACAATATTTGAATAAGATACGTAGTAATTAATACTGCCGTCCTTTAAATAAAACGGGGCTAAGTGACAAAATATTTTTTTGAGATACCATAAAAACCATAACCCAGTTTTTAAACTGATTTTTTTTCAAAGTCAAAGCATTTATTGCTTCCATGTGTTACACAGATCTTAAAATTTTAATAGTACCAACATGACGCTGTTAGGGCCCCGCAATTAAAATAGAATAAATTAAAAATAAAGAATAAGAACATAAAACATAAAAAAAAAACTAGCAATACAAACATTAATTGTATAGGTATTAATTACTCTTCAAATTAAAATCGAAAATTCAAATTCTTCAAACTATATTCATTGTTCTTCAAAAAACTCTTGTAGGCTGTAATAACATTTTTTATCACATGTGCTTTAAACTTTTTTTAAATTACTCAGGATTGGGATGAAATTTCCTTTGGGAATGCATTGAAGATTTTAATTGCCATTACAAATGGTCTTGTGCTGTGCATTTTTATTTTTGAGCTAGGTAGTGCCAGTCTATCTTTATGTCTGAGGTTTATTTCAGCTATGCATCGTTAAGGTAAATTCCGATAAGTCGAATACGTTAACAAATTTTAACTGTTTTAAAAGAGAATTTTGTGCTCTATCTTTTGCTTTTTAAAACGGATATTTGACCACTTGTCACGTAGCCGCGTTTTAGTTAATGGACGGCAGAATAATAGTAAACGGAACCCCGACCCAGGCCGTCCACGACTGTACCGTTGCCGGTGGATACTGCCTCCTCCTTTTAAAAATTAAAAAAATGGAAAAGGCGGGAATCTAAAATTGGCAAATTTAAAAAAGAACCTGACTTGTCGATATTATTCGTACACTTAACATTATTTTCAGCTATTACCATCTCATTTCAATTTCCATTCATAATTTCCATCCTTCATTGTTTAATTTCCTATTAATATCCAAAAACTCACATCAAAGTTCCACAACAACAAAGAAATTTCTACGGCGACAATGATACCTCAGGCCTTTTTTTACTATATCAAGTGACGGAACGAACAAGTGCGCCTGGTAGCTACACGCCTGTCCATAACAGTTGCAGTGCCACTCAGAGCTTTAGAATGGCAATGATCTGAGGGGCACTGCCATTGCGCGACCCTGAGGCATTAGTTGACAAAACCCATGTGCCTGTAATTCCCTTCAAAACCGGAACGTGGCAGTACTTCCCTGGATAAACTCTACTGCTACTAAAAGTCTCAAGAAGGACGCAAAGGTTTATTTGGAAGAATTAGCAAAAATTGGCAACACAATTGAAATTGCATATGGTCAAAGGCTGGACGCCATAGTGCCAAGGAATAAGAAAAAAACTGACTTGTCATTTTCCCAAAAATATAGCATTTAGAGTTACGACATTTTACATTGATGGTGCGATGTATTCTTAGATAATGTTTTATTTGTATGTTACAAAATTTTCATTAGACATTACACATAAAACTTTAAACAACCGTATCCGCTAATTATTTGATAGCAACTTTGATACTTGTATTGTATATACGTAAATATTACTGCACGTGACTATATGGAATGCTAAAATAATCCATCACAAATATTCATTAAAAATTTGTAAACAGTACAATTCGACTGCCCATTAAACAAAATTTATTTTTGATGTAAACACACACACTCAACATAGCCCCGCAATAGGGAAACCCTGTGTCGCGAGTGCTATGGACATACACATAAACACCCATAAATTACACCCAAACTCACGAGAGAAATAAATGTAGGCCATACAAATATTTCTCCCGGCCCAGGAATCGAACCTGGTACCTCTGCGTGGCAGTCCGGCATGGTAACCGTTCGACCACGGAGTTCCATGTAAATTACAAAAGCAAGAGTTGTATTAGTTTTTTTTTTTCGTTTTGCAAAAACAAACGGAAAACAATCGTTTTCATATTCATTGCCCTATCATCACAAAATGTCGCACATTGGTTTCAACACTGACACAACTCAAAAATGGCAATCGTGGAAAGTACAAATTTAACGGTTATGCTTTAAAATAAATACCCTACCGATTAGTCATCAAAAGTGACATACATACTTAACTTCAAACTAAGTGTAATATTGTAATTATTTTTTTTACCGCAAAGCATGGAAGCCGCTTTTTTACTTAAAACACCACAAAGCAAATTAAAGAAACATATCGCACATCGCTTTCAACTGTGGCAGAACTCAAAAATGGTAATCATGGCAACTACAAATGTAACGGTTAGTTTCAAAAATATCCAACTGATTAATTATCGAAACTGACAATACAATATGTAACGTCAAAGTGAGTATAATGTTGGCATTTTTTTACCGAAAAGCAGGTAAGTTTCTGCAAACGCATATAACAAAACTAAAAAAATATGATTTTTGACTTCTAACACCGTTGTGTGATATATGAACATTCTCTATTAACTAGCCAAGCTCACCTCTCAGATACTCCGACATAGGAAAGCCTTGACTCTTTCCACCTGTTCCAAAGTTCCTCTGGAAGCAATCAAAGACTCCTTCATCCAACTCCTCGGTGAGGAGATGGTAGCAACAAGGGACATTGAAAATAGCAGCAGTAGTAGGCTGGGTCCTGAAGATACGTAGCGAGTCTGGACCTAAGTTACCGCAGGTATGAAGACCTAGAAAATGTATGAAGTTGGATACTCATCTCCTGGTGCACTATGAGCACTGTGAACAAGATGGCCTCTCTGGAAAGCTTATTAATAGATCGCAAGATCTTAAGGCTCTCTGAGATACAAGTTTAAAGAAATTCAGATTCTTATTATTTATGTTAAGAAGAATTATCAAGTCCTTAGAGTTTTCGCGATTATTACACATTGGAAATAAAACTACTTTTTCAGATCTAACCGCGCTATTGAACTATATGTATTGATATAATAATTAATTCTAACTATAACAGATTGACTGCATCTTTGCAGTTAATGCGTGAACTCGTAATCATTTAGTAGCAGTAGAGCTCCTTGTGAAAGAGTTCGTCCACTGAAGTACTGCCACCTTACATATTTCTGCCGCCAAGCAGTAATGTGAGCATTACTGTGTTCCGGTTTTGAAGGGTAAGGGTGCTGATGAAATTACAGGCATTTGGGACTTGTCAACTTATGTCTCAGGTGACGGGCGCAGTGGCAGTGCCCCTCAGATCTTTGCGATTTAAAGCACTGAATAGACTGCATACAGTAAATACGTGAAGTTGATTACAACTGCAGACATGCCGTCAATCTGTTAGCAGCCTTAGACATAACTGGTTGATTACTTTACCATCTCAGTCAGCCGTGACCATGGGACCTGTAAAGGACCCGAAAAGTTGGTTTGTTTGAAAAAACAAATGTACGCGATATAGATCCGAAAAAATAGTTTTATGTCCTAAGAATAGTCGTTATTTCACGAAAACTAGAGATAGTAGACATAATATTAATACGAGAAACAAAAATCTGGCAGAAATTTACAGTCGGGAAGAAACTCAAAAAAAAGGAAAACAATGAGATCTAAAAATTCGAAGGTATAAAAAACAGGTACGAAAAACATTTTCTGAAATATTACCAACTACTAAAAAAAAATTTTTATCAATTATATTCATTTTTATGGACAACTCAGGCTTGACCAAAAAATTGACCGTTCCAAAACGGTTTTCACAAAAAAAGACTTAATCGATCCTAACACTGTTTCCTTATATCTTCTATCATTAAAAAAAAAACGCTCTGTGTACATATATAGACTACGTTAATACCTGTCAATAACAGCTTAACTTGATCATGATCGGGAAATGCCTCCCTCACGACGGTAGTCAGGTCTGTATTCTCTGTGATAAACGCGGTGGCGAATCTGTGAATATCGCAGTTGATGTTTTTGGACATTTCCTCCTCTGTACCGTTGTAGACCCTCTTCGCTATAGCGTGCCATTGCTTCTGTTTACAGAATAGAGTGTTTAAAGTACGACACCATTACCACGACCTGGCGCACCCTAGGCTAGGGATGGGTATCGATTAATAGGAATAATCGACGTTTTTTGCTAAAAATAAAATAAAACTATATTTCATAAAAATATTTAATAAACACGTTAAAATTTAGAAAAAAAAATACCGCTTTTAAATCCAAATGTTCATTTCATTTAGTAGATTTTCGAAAAATGCGACTTGCGCGCATATTGAGACATCAGAAAGATGGTTTACATAAGCTAATCATAAAATTTGTCTCCAACGCCTTTGAAAAATTATTAATTAATACTGGTGTCTATACTGTCTATATTGTTGTAATTTGTGTAATTTGAAATAAGGCGGAAAATGAGGGTTATGTTACGAGGTTCCCATGTATGTCGCTTGAGCCGCCATCTGTGGTTTCGAGTTTATTCTAGAAACCCTGGAACTATTAGCTTAGACTTAATGGAATAATGTCTAGCTCTCTCTATACCTACTTAGTATTTTTTTTAACTTTACAAATCAGGTAAACAAAGAAGCAGCGTTTGTAAGCCGACTTACACAGCTAAAAATTCACTAAGAAGAATGTGAAATAATGCGACCAATCAAAATATTTATATTTTGTCGATTAATCGATTTTTTAAGCCACGTTTAATCGGTACATCGGTTGCTTTGTTAAAAAAATAATCGATGTCAATAATCGATATTTTGTTGGTCGATACCCATCCCTAGGGCAACGATCGGCGTAAATCCTTTCACTACGATGGCAAACATTATAGTGTAGTGTATGCTATCGATTCGGTAAGAAGTGGAATTTTACTTCAAGGTTTTATTTTAAACCTAAATTTTAATCATGTATACAAGTAATTATCATATAATAAACTGCCTCTATGTCTTAAAGGTTACCATACTAGACTGTCACGCAGAGGTCGATTTCCGAGCCGGAAGAAATATTTGTATGGCCTACATTTATTGCCACCTTACCTATTTCTGGCGCCAAGCAGTAGTGTGAGCATTACTGCGTTACGGTTTTGAAGGGTAAGGGTGCTGGTGAAATTACAGGCACATGGGACTTTTCAACTAATGTCTCAGGGTGACGGGCGCAGAGGCAGTGCACCTTAAATCTTGGCGATTTAAATCTCTGAGTGGCACTGCAACTGTTATGGACAAGCGTGTCGCTTACCAACAGGCGCACGACTTGTTCGTCCCATCACTTAGTATCATACAAAGAAATATTGCGGGTGCAATTTGTGGTTGTCTATGTATTTGCCCATTGCACCCGCGATACAGGGTTTTCCCTAGTGCGGGGTATGAGTGTGCGTTATTAAGACCTCAGTGGCCGCAGTGGTTTGCACCGTTCACGCCGGATGCGGAGGTCCCGGGTTCGATTCCCGGTAGGACCCATTTGGGAAATTAACTTTCTAAATTGTTTCTGGTCTGGGTATTCCGGGTAACGTCCCGGTGTGAATTACGTTGTTCTGGTACTGAATGCTCCAGTTCGAGACCAGACAAATTGGTGTGGTTGTTGGCACATTGTTACATTATGGCACTTCATTACAGATAAAATTGTTTTCATTGTGTTTTTCGTTCGCAATTTGTTCAAAAATTGTTCGCAAGGGTTTGGACAGTATGCTGAGCAATAGTGAATAGTATGTTGATATATTCCATTGTAATGTTTTAGCGCATTATAAAGCGTAAACTCACGGCCATGTTACTTAATGCTACTGAGTAATTCATTACTATTGATGTAGGTATTGATTAGTTTTGTTCGTTTTTGTGGTTAACATATGCTATTTATTTTCGTTTTTATTTAGAGCTTATTTTTTTGGAACTACAGGATTAAAGTAGGACTTGGTCCAAAAGTCTTGTAACCAGGCCATAAACATTATTAAAAAAAATGGAATGACAGGAGGAAACTTTTAATTGGCGGTATGTTTTTATTTAGTGTTTTGAAACTGTTGGTTCTCCATGAATAAATAAATGAATAAGCAAATTTTGGCCAGTTTAATATGTCTTTTCTGTAGAGTGAAAAAAAATTAATAAAATAAATAATATCTTATAATAATGTTTATCCCATTAATAATTGATGACGACCTCCAAAAGCCAAGGCTCACACACTCAATTTTGAGATATAGCTCTTCCATATGACAGCACAAGGCTTAAATAGTATGGTGTCATCGAGCGAGATGGGGAAAGAGAAAGCAAAGGGGGAGAAAAGCATAAATGAGGTTTTTTTAACTAACGCACACAATCTTCGCCCCGCATTAGAAAAACCTTGTATCGCGGGTGCCATGGACACACATAGACAACCACAAATTACCCCCAAACTCACGTGAGAAATAAATGTACCCATACAAATATTTCTCCCGGTCTGGGAATCGAATATGGGACCTCTACGTGGCAATCCAGCATGGTAACCGTTCGGCCACGGAGGTAGTTTAGTTAAGTTCGTGACTGGGAACCACAGTTTACCTGTATAAGCCTAACACGTTGCGCAGCCGTCTGCACAGCAGCAGGATCGCAGTCTATCGTGAGACTGGGCACGCCGTGGCCCAATGCCAGAGCTGCCAGAAGATGTCCTCGACCTCCACCCGCTTCTACACAGCACGTTGCGCCGCATGCCTTGTGCAAGGATGCTACAAGATGGGACATTGTTTGCACCTGTTTATTGAAAATACAATGGTTTATATTACAGGTTAGAGTGGTTACACATGGCGACTTTTACTTGCGATTTACATAAATACAATCGCCTATGAAGCCCAAGCGTAGCGATACAATCGTGCGTTTGTATCGATGCAGTTGCGCGTTTGCATCGCATTTAAAATCGAGCGCATGTGTGAAGGTAGACAATTAGCGACAGCATCGCTGCTAAAAGTGTTAGTGTGTAACCGCTCTTATGGGCTCAGTGCACATTGTATATAATGTGTATATCGTCGCCTTAGGCTGCCTTTCCGCCAAAGATGTGCGACGTAGCGAGGCTTTGTGCCAGGAAAAACTCCACCAACAGGATTATACTTCATTTCCCTAGCCTCGCTTAGCGCAGCTCCGGTGGAAAAGGGTTAGCGGAGCTAAGTATTTGTACGTACAAAATAGTGAGAAATGTGTGCGAGGAATGTTTGCGAGTGATGCGGGCAAGGAATGTGTGCAAAATGGTGTAGGAAAAGATAATCTTATAAACTTCTTGCTCAAATATATTCTTAAAGTAATATAATATTTGAAAGAGGTAGAAATTTAATCTAATTAAAATGTTAACTACAAAAATTATTGCGTTTACTATAACACCACACCACATTTTTATCTTTGTCCTGAAAAATTACATAGAAATCGTATACGAGGCATTCACTTAAGACGACGATATGCGTTTTATTTGCATAAGTATGGGGGTGTCCGATAGGAGCCTCCCCGCTCGGAGTATGTACATTCCTTTTACATTCATCCTTCATCCAAACATTATATGTATTACAGTGCAAGTCACAGATACGACAAGAATATTTGCTTAAGAAAAAATACTTAAATGAAAACTATTATAGATATTTCGATAAAAATTGACAATGGATTTAGCTTACAATAGGGCTAGCACAACAGGGCGCAACTTGCGCGAGAGCGATAAAAAGCGCGGGATCTCTATGCGAGAATAGCACCGCTTTATGTCGCTCTCGCACAAGTGGCTCCCTGTTGTGCCAGCCCTACAGGTACAGGTTTATATATCATGCAAACTTTTGACTGTACACATGCGCTGAATCAGCTCACTTCATAACTCTTTTTGCTATTCATAAACTCGGAAACTCGAATTTCGGGCTGCAAATCTCCGCCCCACGCCTTGATGCGATCCTGTAGTTGCCTCGCCGTTATAGTGTACTCATTGAACGTTATGTAATGTGCACGGGCCTCCTGCACCCACGCGTCCAGTTCTGGTGTACCTGAAAGATGTTTTTTTAAATTAGTTTAGTGATCATATTTATGTGGCTCATACAAAAAACCTTATCATATTCAGTTAATTTTAGGTAAAATTAGAGAGCAAATAGAATAAGTTCGTTTTGTTAACATTGGATGGCGTTGGTGGCGTTTTGTGAAATTCCTAAATACGCTATTGAGATTTTCCCGGATACATAAACTCGTATACGGTTTCGTATTCGTTTTGTACACAATTTGACGAAGGAAAAGAACCAGTGAACATCAGTGGAAGAAGCTTTAGAATCCAAGAGTACAATTCATAGTTGTACCTACAGATTGTAAACATACCGGTGGCTTTCTTGAATAGCTATTTTAAAAGCATCTATCTTAACCTGAATGGTTTGAAAAAAACTTAAATGTGTCTGCCGCGCTAAGTTAATGAATCGTAAACAACCCAAATGTTTTCATGTGATGATTATTCTAACCAATGAAAAGCTTGGGAGTCCCATTCACAATAAAATTCGAAATCAAAAATCTCAGTAATAAGTCGAAAAAGGGCCAATTTTGGATTGGGCCACTGTTTGAAAACCAGCTTGGAATTTATCAGTATTTATCATAGTATCCTCGTGCTGTATTAAACTATCCTTTGTGAAATGCAGTACATATTGATATTTTTATACCAGATTCGCGTATTGGCATCTCAATTATATTAGAAGTAAAAAGATTACGAAATATAATGCTGAACAATGCTGAATTTGAGGAATCCCTGTTCAAACAACAATGAACAAGTCTAGGTACTATTTCATGTCATTTTATAAACACCAAGCGAACGCTTTAATTCTATAATGAATGGCAACTGCAATTGTACCACTAGAGTGCACCGCGAGATTCTGAGAATATGTGCAGCCATACAAAGAGCGCAAACACACAAGCCGTGCTGTTACGGTTGTATGGAGTTACACTACTTGTCTGAAATGAGGTACATAGTAATTATATATTATGACAAAACGAGTTTAACTCCAGCTATAGCTCAAGAACTTAGACAATATGTTTGTGTGCAGAGAATTAATGTTGCAAGTGCATTATTCTGTGGTAACATAGTTTTATATCTGTTACTGTTAATTTTTCAGCAAAGAACACTTTTAAATACTTACCAGAACTTTTGCCTTCAGCAGCCACCCAAAACTTTTCAACACAATCATTTAGTTCACGTTTTTCCAAACTTTCTCTCAATGGTGTTGGTATTAATGTCTCCCAGTGGTTCTCTGTGAGAAACTCTACCATGTGACAATTAGCGATAGGCAGTAGAGGAGTTAAATACCGCGTTATGGAGTCTAGATGGCGACGTATTTTAGAAGCAGTAGTATCCATTGTAGGCAATGCTGAAATAAACGTAAGTGCTGCACTGGCTTTACGTTCTCCACACACCAAGCGTGGCAATAGTTTACTGATTCATTGGCGCACAATTGGTGTTGTTAATACAATATTGAAACTGTGCTATACCACGTCATACTCAGTGCGTGAAGCTCTTAGTTGGCTAAAAAGTAACCACAATTATAACGTTACACCGCCATTGAATTCTTACTTTTCTGCAATTGCCAATTCAAAATGAAACAATTCTTTCAAATCTAAATCGCTGACTCTTTACATGACCATGCGACTTGTAAAGAGCCCAAAACCTTCCTCAGGAGCTTGGAATAGGTCTTGATAGATGCACGCCTGAGGACTCTTCCGATCTGGTCTGTAACACCTCTCATGTAAGGTAAAATGGCAGGTCTTCGCTCGACTGTTGGTGGTTTTACACGGGGCCTGCGGCATTGGTGTGGAATGTTCAACTTATTCGCATGTAGGACTTGCTTTATATGCTAAAGTTCCCCTACCAGATGATTACTATCACATCATACAATGTAGTGTACATTTGAATGTTTCTTCGTAAAATTAAAAATAAGGTATTTAATTAATAACTTTTGAAACTATAGTGAAAACATAGGGTGGTTTGTATTAATATTAGACATAACTGGTTGATGACTATACCACCTCAGTCAACCGTGACCATGGGATCTGTAAAGGGCCCGAAACATTGGTTTGTTTGAAAAAACAGATATGCGCGATTTAAATCTGGAAAGTAGTTATATATTTATTTATTTTATTTTAATAGTTTCATTTCCTATGTGCAATCGCGAAAACCTAAGAACTCGAAAAAAAACATATTGTCCAAAAAAGTTATTCACTCTAGTAAATACTCTTTTAATGCTACATTTACAGACACAGGAACCTTTATTTTGGCATGAAACACTTTATTTGACATGTTATGGTCATATTACATTACAAAAAGTGGCTCCTTTGAACTACTATGGTATGGTACTTATAATTATTATTGTAATTAATTGGAATGTAGTTATTTGTATGTATGTATGTACATGTGAGTATGTAATGTAATGTAAAGTGGCTATATAATACATAATTTTTATTTATTATTTAATTTACTCATTTTCTTGTATAAATGCGAAATTTTGAAATATAATTCCACAAGCCCACGCGCATGGCTCACGCAAGTCATAGAAAGCCTTAATTGTCACACATTTGTGGAACACTTTGTTGGTTAATGTCATCGAGTATATAACCAGAAATAGAGAGGAAATAAGGGCCATATATTCCTGGTAACACATTAGCGATATAGCTCCTTTAAATATCACCTCTCGTTTGCACTGAAATATAGACCATGACCTGAAATATATTCCAAAAAATATTCTGTATTTATTGTAATAAAGGTAATATATCTAACAATGCCGTGCTGTTCTATACGGTGCTGTGGGAAAAACAACAAAATATCTAATTACAAAACAAACGGAATCACATTTCATCAGTAATTAAATACTAAATATGTAATTTTGAAATTTTTGTCCATTATAGCAAAGCCCAAGTTAACTGGTCGATTCGAAGTGAAACAGTTGACGACACCCATTGACGACACCCGTCAATTGTTTCGAACTCGGACTAGCCAATCGGAGAGCAGTTGTCAAAGTAATAATATGGCAGAATAGTTTTCAAACAAATTAAATGACATTTTGTCTCTATTTCTGGTTATATATTCGTTGGTTCATATTTATTCAATCTAGCTTATTCAATGTTTTTTGTTTAGTATGTAACTGTTTGTGTTTATCTGATAAATAAATAAATAAAACCATATCATGTTATTAGCCAACCGCACACAACACATAACAGTATTCAAAATATTCAAAAGACGGCCTCCGTGATCAAGTGGCTTGCACACTGGTTCTTAGTGTTGCCATCTTTGACGTCCCGAGTTCGAGCCCCGGCAGGGTCAGCTTAGGAAACTAACCTTTCAATATTGTCTCCGGTTTGGGTGTTTGTGGTACCGTTGTTGTCACCAATTTCTATAACACAAGTGCTTTAGGTACATACTTTGGGATCAGAGCAACATGTGATATTGTCTAATCTTTATATATTCAAAATTAAATATCTCACCAAGTGATCTAAAAAGAAACGCCAGCATCAAAAGGATTACCAGAAGGTATCTTCAACATAGCACACACCTTCTTATACTGTGCCCTTATGGCCTCTGCCATGCCCAGTATATCTTGGTCTTCGGAATTCTCCTGAGGGAATGTATCAATGAGCTCTTTCACTTTGGACAATTGACTTATTATTTTTTCTGAGTGGTTCAAGTCTTTTTCGTTAAGATAATGTGTTATGATGCCTAGGTAGTATCCTAAAAAGAAAATAAATTTGATTTATCACTGCTAGCTGCAGAAAAAAATTAATTGGTCTGAATTACAAATTGCACTTAAAAGTTTAGAAATGGTAAGCGTACAATATAAATTACTAAGCAGCACAATTTATGGCTAAAATGGCGAGTACGTTAGAAAGAATCTTTGTCCACAAACTTTCTCAGAATGTCTTACTTGAATAATTTTAATCATGATGGTGGAAGTATACTTGATGGTTGAAATTATTGCCATGATGTATCAATTATCAAACCAAATAAAAAAAATTACCCAGCTCCCGACCGAGTTCACCACCTCTATGATACCCCAAATGGAAACCTTCGGAACTCCCAGCAGCACTACCAGATTTGAATCCTTCCTCGTAACTTTTTTTGTGTTCAGCTTCTTCTCGCAAGAATATGTTATCCAACACGTCGTTGAAGTCTACTTCTTCAGCCATTTATGCTCATATTCCCAAGCAGCGAGCATAAAAAAATATAAATAATATGATATTCGCCAAGTATTTGTTTTGATTTTAAGGTTATATTTAGATTTTTAAATGAAATTTTAGTGGCCTAAGCACGTGTACGACGTGTACTAATAAATGTGAAAATCTATATGTCAAACACAATGCTTAATTACTTATTTCGCAGCCATCACAATATGTCACACAATGTCACATATTTTATATAGAGCGTATGACATTCGCTCTGGGCCTTTTGGAGGGAAAAGTATCGTTTTTATTTTGACTTTCAATTATTTTGTGAAATCTAGTTTAAAGTGGAATAGGATAGTGCTATTGTGCCTTAATCGCAGATTAAAACGCGAAATTATACGAATCTCGAACTAAAATACCCGTATCGGCCTGTTTTAAGGAATCCCGAGTCAATCCAAGCACGCCGCCTCAAATTGCCTATCCTCTTTGTGGCGGCCATATTTACAGGAACGTAATTAAACTTCATGTTTAGGCTGATGGCTTTGCCAAAGCCTTAGTAAATTTAGAAAAAAAAAAAAATAGAGCGTATGATCTATGAATGATCTAGACATCAAAAATTAATTAATTAAATTTAATTTCTGCTTAAATTCTCTTTGCTAGATATATGCAAAAACTATTTTTGCCGTATGTATTTGAATTGAATAAATGTGCTAAAATGTTCAAAAAAGTTGCGTTGGGCATATCCGGAGGTGTAGACAGTGCCGTTGCAGCGTTACTTCTAAAACGGGCAGGTAATAACCAATATTTTTATTAATGCATCGCGGTCACCCATTTCGCCCGGATTATCTTGAATTGTATTTTGCAGGTTATCTTGTCGAGGGTGTGTTCATGAGAAACTGGGACAGCAACTATGAGGCTGGTTTTTGTTCAGACGAAAAGGATTTTGAGGACGCTACATTCGTTTGTCGTAAGCTGGATATTCCTTTGCATAGGGTCTACTTTATAAAAGAATACTGGAATGAAGTATTCACCGTGCTACTGAATGAGTACGAGAACGGCCTAACGCCAAATCCAGATATATTGTGCAACAGATTTATTAAATTTGATAGTTTCTTTGAACATTGCAGGAATAACTTAGGCATTGATGTTATAGCTACAGGGCATTATGCGAATACGTCCTTTGGGCCCTTTTTGGACAAATATAATGAAAATGAAGGTATGAAACAATATATTTGGCATGTTAAAAATCTTATTTGTCTATAGTTTTTAAGTAAATGAATTTATAACCAATTTAACTTTTTAAACGTATAATGTTGACTTTAATTTTCATATAATGTCAATATCAGAGTGACATCTCGGTTGATATTCTTTTAATACCGGACTTAGTAGTTGTTTATTAATTATTAACTAGATACCCTTTTGTGTGGGGTTGGTCAATACAAATGCCACATTCATTTAAAGTATTTTATATATTGCAGGAGTAAGATTACTACAACCTAAAGACAAATTTAAGGACCAAACATTCTTCCTATCACAAATTAAACAATTTTCACTGAGAAGATGTATGTTTCCCATAGCAAATCTTATGAAGAGTCAAGTGAGAGAGATAGCAAAGAAAGAAGGGCTTATTAATGTTGCTAATAAGAAAGATAGCACTGGTATATGTTTTATAGGGAAGAGAAGGTTTCAACATTTTATTGAAGAAGTGAGTTCATGACAAATAATGTATCAGCTAAATTTTATTTACAACAGCTTCTGTGTGACATCTATTATGTTACAATTAGAAACAGCTTTAATCTCATGTTTATTTCGAAAAACGAAAAATTTGTTCTTCCAGTACAATTCAGGGGGTCTACACATTCTCCGTCTGACGTTTGTCCGAAAAATTAACTGTCAAATAAGTAATATTCGACAAAACTTAATGACAATGTCAAGTATGAAGCTTCACTCGCATCATGCGTCTTAATTTGGTCGAGTATTACTTATTTGACAGTTATTCATTCGGACGAAGAATGAGCGTAGACCCCCAGTTCACTTAAAACTAATTTAATTACATAATTTTGTGAGTCCGCAACATAGGCATCTTCAGGAAGACACAAATATAAATCAGGAACAGGCTTTGTCACATAAAAATTAATAGCTGCTTCAAACATCCCCATAGTACTGGCAGCATTACCACACTGAATGGCCAATGAAATTTGTTGCATCATGTAAGGTCCAGAACGTGGATCACAGCCTCTATCTCTAAGGCCCTATCTTTAATTGATATTCACACTCAGCTCCATTATATTGTTAACATCTGTACGATGGATAAAAAAATCCAGGCCATTTATAATAATAAAAGAGGTAATAAAAGCTGGTTTTAGATCTTAGTTTCAATATGAACAATTTTCATTTCATTTATTACAGTATATTGAAACAAGAAAGGGCAACTTCATAGATATAGATACAGGACAAGTGGTGGGGGAACACAGTGGACTCCACAAGTGGACTGTTGGACAGAGATGCTGTCTGGCCAATTGGAAAAATGCTTATTTCATTTTTAAAAAAGACTTGGATACTAATGATATTTATGTGGTAACTACTCATTTTGTTTATGAGAATAATGCCTTGTGTAATGTAAAAGCTACATGAGCTAATAGTAAAAGAGCTCGAATCTTTTATGTACTGCAAAGGTGTATGGCAGATCAGTGATTAAAATTTATCCATAGTCTGATGAATATGATTTAATGTTTTTAAATGCTATAGTAATATACCTTAATAATAATATTATTTTGATGCAGGTTGCAGGCACTAAGCATCCAGCCATTTGGAACAATCTATGCTTCACAGGAACACCCCACTGGATACACAGTGAACCTATAGAACTGACCCAAAACAACGTACTTAAATGTTGTTTCAGATTTCAACATACGAAACCCTTAGTAGCTTGTAGAATAGTAAATAATAGTCAAGGGTTAACTATTTTGTTAGATAACAATGTAAGAGCATTGACTGAAGGACAATATGCTGTTCTTTATAAAAATGGGGAATGTTTAGGCAGTGCTAAAATCAAAGAGGTGTGTCGTAATTTGGATTTCCAGACTGAGTTCTAGATAATTTAATTTAGTAAGCAGTGTAAAGAACACATCAAGTGTGCTCTTGGCCCTGTACTTGTTATTAAAAATGTGGATTTTTTAATTTGTTTTGTATTATTTATTAATTTATTAGTATTACGCATAAAATGGTGTACGGACATTTATTTTTATTTTTCTTTAAACATAATCAAATTTAAACCACGTGCGTGCTTTATATTTTGGATTCCTGATATTTTATTAATAGTTTTATTACTATTACTTCTTCTAAAAATGCACAATTTTATTTTATAATCGCGCTAAATTAAACTTCAAAAGATATTTCTTAACGAAGAACATGATATGAGCCTTCGAATTATTTTTATTGTGAACGTTCCATCGAGTATATAACCAGAAATAAGAGACGAAATGACATTTAATTTTAAAACTATTCTGCTATATCATTATGACAACTGCGCTCCGATTTGCATTATTGTTGTTAGTGTTGTGATTAGACCATAGATTTAGTATATATAGGATGGATTAGACAATATCACATGTTGCTCTGATCCCAAAGTATATAAGTGTTATAGAAATTCGAATTAGAAGAATTGTGAAAATAATGCAATAAATAGGGATTTTTTTTGCGAAAATTGACTTATAGAGAAAATTTTACGATTTTTTAAAATAAATTTTGGATAAATTATTTTTTTTTTAATATTTTTTTGTTTTAAAGTCTACATAGTTATAATGTATTTTTGATGTACTACTAATAACAATGCTAACAGTTTTTATTTTGTTGCAATAAAGCTAGTATAAAAAAAAAGTTATAACGTTTTATGCAAATTAAGTCGTCCGACCGAGCAAAAAAAATATAAACCCACATAAAATATTCAATTTATTTTTTAGATTTTTTTTTATTTTTTTTCGTCCACCAATTGTGGTCTACTCTCACTCTGTTCAGTATGTGCACTTTTACCAGGGACACACTATATAACCAGAAATAGAGACAAAATGTAATTTAATTTGTTTGAAAACTATTCTGCCACATCATTACTGTGACAACTGGGCTCCGATTGGCTAGCCCGAGTTGGAAACAATTGATGGGTTTCGGTCGTCAACTGTTTTACTTCAAAACGACCAGTTAACTTGAGCTTTGCTATAAACGATTATTATTATTATTATTATAATGGACGAAAATTACATATTTAATATTTAATTACCGATGACATGTTTGCATTCCGTTTGCTTTGTAATTAGATATTTTGCTGTTTTTCCCACACCACCGAATAGAACAGCATGGCATTGTTAGAGATATTATCTTTATTACAATAAATACAGAATATTTTTTGGAATATACGGAGACGTACACACAGGTCAGTAGTTGGCCTGTCTATATTTCAGTGCAAACGACAATTCATATTTATAAGAGCTGTATCGCTAATGTGTTACCAGGAATATATGACCCTTATTTCGTCTCTATTTCTGGTTATATACTCGATGGAACGTTCCCACTATTTGCAATTTTTCGGAAAATTAACCCACCTGTAAAACCAGCCGGACAAAGTTGGACATATTTAATGTTGAGATTTTCGAACGGAATAGAAAATGTCATACTAAATTACGAAAAGTTCTGAACGAAAAGAACAATGTCACAAGTTTTTGCAGTCGGCCTTTTATTTGTATTCTGTGAAATCCTTGAAAAAGAAATAAAGCAATTTTATAAATGACTATAAAACAAGGAAACAATCATATGTGCTTTGCTCATATCGATTTTGTTGTTATATAGGTTACAACAATGTCAATACCGCCAGTAAATTACAGTGTACCGCCACCAAACTTGAATGTGCCACCACCGGGTGCACCACCTTTACGACCGACTGAAATTCTTCCGCCGCCGCTGTATAGCCATCCACCTCCATTCACCGTACCGTTGGTGTCTGGTACCGAGCCGCCGTACATGGCGGTTCCAACCCTACCACCGTTGAATATGCCACCCCCAGCTACCGCTTACCCTTCGCCACCCGTTGACATCCACACTGTTCCCCCACCCTTTCTACCTCCAGTCGCTTCCGAATTTTCCTATAGGGAGCCTGGGTACTACCCAAAAGATTCCAATTTCGCAATGAGTTTTGTTCCGCCTAAACTAGAAGTTAAATCCGAAAGAGACTCACCTTGTCCGTCAGATCGTAGCTACTACAGCCAAAAAGATGGTGAACCTTCTACTTCCAAAGATTATGAGAAAAAGTATTCTTATATAAAAGAGGAAAAATCCAACAGGCCTTCAAGTCAGTTGAAGACTCGAATGTCACCTCCAAGAGAGTATGATAGAGGGAGGCATGACAGAGAATATTCCAAAGGAAGACATTATGACAAAGATGATGAAAGACGAAGATATGAGAAAGAAAGAGAAAGAATTGAAAGAGAAAAGTATTATGACAGAGAAAGAAGCTATGATAGAGAACGTAGAGAAAGGCATTACAGAGAATCCAAGGCCAGAGATCACAGATGTCATAGTCCAAGTTACAGTCACCGTAGCAGGAGCCCTTCAAGGCATAGCTACAGAGATATGGAGAAAGAACGAGAAAGAGAAAGATACTACAGAGAGAAATATTACAGAGAAAAATATGAAGAGCGACGGGAGCTTGAGAGACGAAGATATGAGTATGAGCATCGACGTAGCCTTTCTAGAGACCATAGGAGCCATAGTCGGAGTCATTATGATGCTAAATGTGAACGCGTATTCAGGTCACCAAGTAGAAGGAGATATTCTAGAGAAAGGGAATATTCAAGCAGCCGGTCTGGTTCCATACAAGAATCATTGCCTCGTAAAAAACTGACAGATCGGGAGAAGATCTTGGAAGAGTACAGGTTAGTAACATAATACATGTGTGTTATATTTTGGTTGTTTACATTGGTGATAAATTGTTGTAATGTATACCTATCATAAGTTTTACAGACATATTTATTTGTTGGTAGGAAAAACTATTGTAAAACTTCTGAAGATTTTATTGAGAAATTGGAGCAGTGGCAGAAAGATCATAATTCAGATGAAGAAGAGGTAAGGAACAAAGTCAACAGTTGTACTTAACAGTAACTTATACCTTTGCAGGTTTGGTAAAGATAATGGTAAATTCCACAATTATCTAAAATAAAGTACATACAATAAATATAATATACAATACAGAAAATAAAAAATATTTTAGTCAAAAGTGCTGCACATAACTTCTTCAGCAATTAAGTGGTTGGTAACTAGAATATCCTATCAGAAAATGTTGTTACTGCCATTTATGTCAATGCCTGCAAAGTGAACTAAACTTAAAACAAAGACTATTGATTTTGATAATGTGTCACATAGACATATTATTATTAGGCACACAGCTACTTTATATAGTCAAATGAAATAAGTCTTTTGATATAGTATGATAGAGGTGCCTGATACATTTTGTATTTGTCTTTTATTTGCTTCTGTGGGTTGTCCTTAGTTGCAATTAGGAGATTTTTTTTGTATTGTATTGTAATGGCAGCATACTACTGCAAAATGCCATCCATACATATTCCAGTTAGGTATTTGGTAGGTATCTTGTAATGTACTAGAGCAACCCCTAGAATTTCTTGTTCATTTGAAGACCCTTGTGGTCGACTGGCTTGCACGCCGGTTTTCATGGTGTCGCCATCGAGGTCCTGGGTTCGAACCTCAGCCGGGTCAGTATAGAAAAACTATAATAACTTTTCTATATTGTCTCGGGTCTGCGTGTTTGTGGTACCGTCGTTGTTTCCGATTTCCAGAACACAGTGCTTTAGCTACTTAATTTAATATCAGAGCAATGTATGTGATGTTGTCTAAAATACTCCCAGAGACATAATTCGAGGCACCTTGCATTTTCAATATTAAATGCCCTTAGCTTAAACAATGCTTGATTGATCAATAACTATTATACAACTTTGAAACTGGTATACGTCATTTCCTTAAGTCCTTATTGAAAACATGAATTTAAAAAAGCAGAGAAAACTTTTTCTTTTATAGTTTAGCCTTTTAAGGATGGCTCGAGTTATGTGTCAGAGAGTGTATTTATTTGTTTATAGTACATTCTTCTCAGGGGAATCTGATTTATGATAATGAGCAGTAGAGTTTAATATGACGATTTCAAGTGTTTATTTACATTTGAAACAAATATTATTTGACTTTGATTAAGTACATACAACGTTTTGTAAATATTACCAGCTTTTAAACCATAAATTGAACATTACAGTCATCAACAATGTGGTACCGCAGTTCCCCAGCTGAGCTATACTATAAGCCTGTTGAGGATGGTCAGGGTGTCCAGCAGACCCTAAAGCTAGAGAAGCTGTGTGATAATTTCTTCAAAGAACTGATTGAGCGAGGGCGCAAGGCACGACCAGTTGGCGATGAGCTGCCGCCATTGAAACCTCCTAAGGCTAAAATGTGCAAGCATAGATGTAAGTTCTTTTTTTTATGTTACTAAGTGACGGGACGAACAAGTCGCGCGCCAGGTGGTAAGCGTCACGCCTGTCCATAACAGTCGCAGTGCCACTCAAAGTTGAAAAGTCTCATATACCTGTAGTTTCACCAGCACCCTTACCCTTCAAATCCAGAACGCAGGAAGGCTCGCATTACTGCTTGGCAGCAGAAATAGGTAAAGTGACAGTGCTATCCTGGACGAACTCTTACACGAAGCGCTCTACTGCTATTGTAGTGTTACTTAAAAAATAGTGTACTAAATTCGACATCCCTGTTATTATCAGAGATCGGAATAGGCAGAGTATATATTTCACCTAAACTATAAGCAATAGACGTAGAGTGGATTGTCCCAAAATTATCAATAATAAAAGGTAAAAATGTGTCAATATGTTTGTGCTAAGAGGTAAGGATCATGATGTTTTTGTTTTATAACTTCGGCATGGATGCCAAATTAAATATACTGATACTGACAATCAAGGTGTCCAATAAATTAGAAGCTATCGTGAGAAGTATCAGGATTTCATTCCCCGCTAAACCTTGTTTTGGTTTATTTTAAGTATTCTGTGTAAATAACCTAAGAGTATATTCTAAGTATTGGGTATAATATTAATATTAATTTCTGATATTTTTAGTGGAAGAGGGTAGCTCGTCATCATCTGAGAGTGATGACGAGTGCCTAGACGAAGATGGGCTACAGGGATACACTGACAGGATCATGCTGGAGCTGCAAAGGAAGCAGAGCCATCCACGGAGATTGCACCCAGAATTATGGTATGACATTGGTACATTTAATAATATACTAATAATAATTATAATACCGCGCACACTCAACGTAGCCCCACAGTAGGGAAACCCTGTGTCGCGGGTGCCATGGCCACACACATAGACAACCACATATTACACCCAAACTCACGAGAGAAATAAATGTAGGCCATACAAATATTTCTTCCGGCCCGATAATCAAACCTGGGACCTCTGCGTGGCAGTCCGGCATGGTAACCTTTCGGCCACAGAGGCAGGCAAAAATTATAGTCGCACTTGTAATAATATCTATGGTGATGTTTCGTATCATCATTAGTCTTATTTATTTTGTTTTATTCATTGACCTACCAACAAATGGACATTGGGTCTAATACAAAAACCACGAAAAAAATGTCCGAGGTTAACCTATACAAACGTAGTGACATGTAACGAAATATAAAAAACTAAAACATTTAATTTAAATTGTAACGTCATTGCAGTACTGTCTAAATTTGCTTACAACAATTGAAGGGCCCAAAAATACCATATTCAGCTTTTACTGAAAACTTAACAAAATGCACCATATTTAGCTTCGACGGAAAATTACTTGAACACAAGAGTAATGGAATAGCCTTTCTCGTAAATATTGATTAATTTTTTTTTATGTATTATTATGTCGAATTTTGTACAAATTCACTTAAAGGTATAATAAAGAGGTGGGCAGATACATATATACAATTATTACTACAAATGTGAAAATAAGCGTGTACTATAAGAAATGTACCGATATTCTGACTAAACGTAAACTCAAATATCCGTAATTCCGATTTATAACAAAACCGTTACGCTTTCGAGTAATTTTGATGCTTTTTACATAGACAAAATTAGCTTTTGTTTTGTAATCTTCGTAAAAACACATTTTGAAAATTCGAGCTAATGTTACTTTGGGCAAATGTATTTTTTCACTTATAAGGGAAATCCCATGCCGTAAAACGAGTACAACGTTTTATAAAAAAATCATTTTAAAACTAGGATCCACAGTTTCTTTGTTCTAAATATTTCAATCGCTTGTGGTTCGAACAATTGAAAATGATCAAGAAGTTTATATAAGCTTCTTGAAACTGACATAATGAGTCTCTTTCCATCTTTTGCGCATGCAATGAGTAGAAAAAGGACAGTTAGCTATTTCATTATTTCGTGTGCTTTTGTAATTTATATTTACGATTCAGTTATATATAAATTAAATACTATAAAACTGTACAAAATAACACGTTTAAATGACAACTATGATAACACAATATATTTGTTTAGTGAAAATATGATACAAAATCATGTTTTCACACTTCACTGCAGTAATTTTTACAAGTTATTACTGCATGATTAACAACCGCGCTGTCACTCGAACAAACGAAGACTATTGTGCGATTAACGCTCTGTATGCGATTTTAACGCCCTATAGGTGCGGACACTTTTTAGCGCGAACGCGACGTCCTTTTATTGGTAGGTTTTATTCTAATAATTTTTCAATGTTCTGTTTATCGTAATCATTTTTTTGTTACTAAAAACGAAAGTAAACTTTATACTGCTGCAATATGGTCGCTGCTTTTTTGGGGAATTCTCGAATTCGTCGTCGTTCAGTTATTAACCGCTAGATTTGAGAAATTTCAATTCAAAATCAAAACGTCGTAACTTGTAATAATAGGTATTGATGGTATTGAACTTTCAACGATATTGCCAACAGGGTAAAGTTTAAATAATATTAACAGTCCAGAATTTGTTACTTCGTTTTAGATTTTAGACTCAGATGTACGAGTTTTGGCGACAGCGGTTTTGATAGTAATGGAGGCTAAAGGTACTTCCATTGTTTTTTTTCTTCCATGCTGTCGACTGTCTCAGTTATTGTTATATGGAATACGTTGCAGGTTCAACAACACGGGCGAGATGAACGGCGGCCCCCTCTGCCGCTGCAGTGCACGCGCGCGACGCCACGGCATGCGACACGGCGTGTACGCTGGCGAAGACGCCTTCACTAAATGTATTCCCACGCAGAGCAACATAAATAAGCTGTACCACTATCGGTGAGTAGAAACATAAACTCCTTCCTTGCTTGGACGTTGGTGTGGACAGTGTTTTGCCAGCCGCGTCCTCAGCTGACGAAAGCGTCACTTCCCGCGTGCGATTCCGCCTCCAGAATCTGAGGTCCCATGACGTATTAGTACCTGGAGACGTCACTGTCTTTCAGCTCGCCTCCGCTGGGTCGTTGGCATTACCTGTTCAAATTTGAAAGCTTGTATCTTGGAAACGTGACACTAGAAAATCTTGTCATATAAAACATTATTGTTGTATTGACGTTAGTTGTCGATTCATATATATAGGTTTTATACATGACCGCCATTTCGATTTTTTTACAAAATGGCGGATAGTAGGTAACCACGCCCCATAGTATGATTTTCAAAGTTTGATAATGTGAATATTTTAAACAACACTTAAAAAAAATAATTCAATCCGGCTGGATTCGAACCACACGCTACGCCAACTAAGCCATAGAACGAACTAGCGGACCTTACGAATTCTTCTATGTGCTTTTTACAGATCTTTAAAAACCAATAGCTTTTAATGACTTATTTGTCGTAGCGCCATCTGTGAGAAACCTTATCAACAATTTCTTTCGCCCCAGCTGGGTGCATGAATATTTCTTTGTGTTCGATTTTTGTTTCTTTTTCTTCAATTAAGAATGTTGAGTCCTTACATTTAGTTTCTTTGAATATTTTAGTTTTAGTTTCTTTACAGTGAGCATTGATTTTCCATTGCCAAGTTATATGAGTTGCACTCTATCCACTATTCCAAGCCAAGATCAACAATACTCTTGTTTGTTCCAGTATCACCGTGTCACCACCGACAAACTTCCTTATAAAGTCCCCCACAATAATCGGCCACGACGAACACGAGTTCCTGTTCTCCGGATTTTCAATGTTCTCGCACTACAAGCTGGCCAAACTGCCGAAATGCAAAGTCATAAGGTTCAACATTGAATACACCATTTTGTACGTGGAGGAGCCTGCGCCACAGAACTTTACTATACGTGAATTGGATTTATTCGGTAAGATCATTATACATATATGGAATGTTTTAAACTAACGTGAGTGATAGCTTAGTGTTTGTAAGCACGACTTGTGACCTCAAAGTTGATGGATCGAACTTCAGCTCGATACTTCCTATGAACACTAAACCATCTCTATTTTTTGGTCATTTTCTGTTATTTTAGTATACTGCTATATTTATTTACTAATATTATGCTCCACGAACTTTGTCAAAAAAAATAAATAAAGAAACAAAAAACAAAATAAAAACAGAACAGATTCAAAAATTAAGTTGGTGCATCGAGTATATGTGTAACCAGAAATAGAGACAAAATAAGCGCTAACTATCACTCATCAGGCAAATGAGCTTTATATCACTTTTAAATATCAGCTCTCGTTTGCGCTGAAATCACAAATTAGAAAGCTGAAATAGTACAGCGCCAACAACTGACCTGTGTGTACGTCTCCGTATATTCCAAAAATATTCTGATATTTATTGTAATAAAGGTAATATTATCTTTAACAATAGGGGCTGTTCCATCCGATGGTGTGGGAAAACAGCAAAACATCTAATTACAAAACAAACAGAACCACATTTCATAGGTAATTAAATATTAAATACGAAATTTTTCAATTTTCGTCCATTATACCAAAGCTCAAGCTAAACTGGTCGATTCGAATTCGTGCTGGCCAATCGGAGCACAGTTGTCACCGTAATGATTTGGCAGAATAGTTTTCAAACAAATTAAATGACATTTCGTCTCTTTTTCTGGTTATATACTCGATGATTGGAGGTATCGAAATGTTGGTCAACTTATGCAAGATTTACTTAAACAGTGAAAGAGTACATCAAGCTTAACAAACCTGTATGTTAAATGACATTTGTTTATTTATTTATTAAAACTTTATTGACCACAAGACATGATGGTACAAAAGGCGGACTTAATGCTAAAAGCGTTGTCTACCAGTCAACCTTTAAGAAAAACGAAATTCACGAACGCGGCGAATTATTTCTTTTTTTTTAACAATTAGAGATTTACAGAAACTCAGTGAAGACAGTAAAACCTCCTAGTCTGTTTTTGTTTTGTCTATGGGTCTTGACATCTACTGATGACGGTTATTAATAATAATGTGCCATAAACGACCACACCAATTGCCTGGTCTCAACTCTAGTTGAGTACCAGAGCTACGGAATTCACTCTGGGCTACTTCCCACACCCAGACGAGACATTTCCTAAATTGGTCCATTCGGGAATCAAAGCCGGAGTCTCCTTAACCAACACAGTGCAAACTTAGCGACCACCGAAGTCGTCAAAAGCAAACTGGTTAAGTTAAATATAAAACCTGGTCACGTTACTCGTTAATTTGCGTCGAATTATTCATATTTCAATCGTTCTTCAAATGAATTAATTTAGCTCATTGACTTACAAATAAATGGACGACGGGTCTATACAAAAACCACGAAAAAAATGTCCCAAGTCAACCTATTTAAACGTAGTGACATGTAAAGGAATATGAAAAAGCTAATACGTTGAATTTAAATTATAATGTCATCGCAGTACTGTCTAATTTTGCTTGCTTCGCTGTCAGTCGAACAAACGAAGACTAAAGCGTGAATGACGCTCTGTATACGATTTTAACGCCTAATAAGTTCGGACACTTTTTAGCGCGGACCCGACGTCCATATAATTGTAAGTCAATGATTTAGCTAATAATTTTAAACTCAATTAGTACAGCATTTCCCAAACTTCTTCAACTCGCGACCCCCCAGAAGTCAACCAAAGACGCTGCGGTGTCAATTACAATAATAAAACAAAATAACAAAGTTCGGATTGTGCCAGTGCGTTTGTTTATTTTTCAACACGATCATGCTCCCGTATCTCTGACGTCTACTGCAAAATTTGGTGTCGAAAAGTAACTTTTGGGCATTTACGTTTATTAATTGTGTGTTTCAGAGGAGTACCTCTTCTACGAGTTATTAGAACTGATCGACTTGGACTTAGGGAAGGCGACGGAGTCTTCGTGTTCGCAGTTCCACTTTATGCCGCGCTTCGTGCGATTCCTGCCCGAGGGCGGGTGTGAGGTGGGCCTTAATATATTTTCATATCTTACACACGGTCGTCCAAGATATACTAATAATAATAAATAATTTATTTCAGATATCTATGATCCATACTCTTAAATTATAAAATTGATTAATCACTTTAAAATTAAAATTAAATTGACATCGAAAACATAAATTGTTTAAATTAAAAGTTAAACGCTAAATCAAAATTAAATATTTATACCTAAATCACAAGATAAAAAGCATAAAATTAAAATAAGATCAAATAATAATTAAATATAATAAGTTATCAAATTCATCCTTTTCCTATATGCAGTCAAATCAAATGCCACACTATGGGACAGTCAAAACGGTCTGCTATAAGGCGTAGGATGGTGTTGGTGCTACCGCGGACACGACTCAGCATCGAGGCGACTTTTTTTCTTATGACAGCATAAAAGTCATCTGTGTGAGCTTCTGCAAACATACCTGACGCGCTACAGTGTCGGCAGCCCCGTCAACACCCTAAACGTATTATTGTATTCATCCAAAACATATATTTATGTGATTTAAGTTAGGTTAGGTTCTTATACCATTGTCTTTTTTTGTTACAGCCTTCCTTTCCTTCTCCTTTTCTTACCTTTTCTTTGTGTGAACCTGTACAATAAGATTCACGTGGACCAAACGTTACTCTCATTATTACGCAAGACCCTTCATTACAGCTATCTGACCCCTGAAACTTTGCTCCTTGAAGCGGACCCAAGCCTGGTGGCCGCCATTAAGGAAATAGAATAGAATAGAACTTTGCTCTTGTGGCTGTCGCAGTAATATTTACATAGCTACCTAGTGGTATTTACATAATCTCGCAAATCTACACATTTCTAGGTTTTTCGTCATCAATTTGCAGAATTTTGGTTGAAATGTACTATTAATTTGAAATATAATGTTCCCTCTTTGTCTTTTAATCAAGAGAAACACGAAAATTTATGCGTTTCCTGTTTTCGTGTTTCTATGTTTAAACGAATTAGAAAATATATTGATAACCCTGAAACAAATCGTGTTACATGGTGTTTGAAAGGAAATGTCGATAAGGTTGCTTGAGAGGAATTGTTGCTTAGCAATAACGTCATATGATGCACTGTAAATTAGTCTGTTATATCTACATTACTGATATGTGTTATCATTGTTACATTTTAATCTTTCATTCTATGGGTGTTTTACGTTTCGATGCTAGAAGAACAGGAGTCCAGTAAGTAATACTAATGACGACCTCGGTAATCCAACGGCTTGCACTCTGGGTGCTGAATAAAGAAGTTCCTGGTATGGTTCCCGGTAAAACCAATTGGGGAAACGAACTTTTCTAAATTGGTTCTGGTCTGGCTGTTCTGAGTAGTGCCTCGGTAACACACTAAAGTACTATAATCTTATAAGTAGAGATTTTTAACTTCAGCCCGTGAAAATTAGAAAAGCTGGCTTTGAAAATAAACAATGTA